TTTTGTTGTTATATACCTGGATGACTGAGAAAACAAACTTTGTGTTTTTGAAACCATTAGTGAAAAGGCCAGACTTCAGGGGTATCTGAGGCAGGCTTGAAACACAAGAGTCAGGGTGGCTTCTGGGTAATACCAGATGGCTAGGCCTCAGACTGACGAAGCCTCTTGGATGAGGGGCGAAACGTTTCTTTTTAACAAAAAAACGAAGTCCAGATGACATGATTCAACCTTTTTTGTTGTTTGGTTAAACCTTATAAATAATGTGATCTCATGCTCAAGAGTATGTGTTGTGAACTACTCTCACCTACTACCACATGAAATTTTAGTTCAAACCTATAAAATTGAATGATGTATAGCCATGTTTGTGTAATTCAGTCATGGTTACCCTAAAAGCTCAGAAGTTGTTGGTGTACATCTGTTACTTTCTTCAAGTTTCATTAAGCCGAGAGGGGCTGAGATGAGGTAGAGGTCGGGCAGCCAACTTGGGACCAGGAAGTCACTTTTCGATTCCCAGCCATTCCCACATGTCGTGGTGTCTCTGAGCAAGACACCCAATCCCTAACTGCTCCTCGGGTGCTTACATAGCTGCCCACCGCTCAACTTGGGTCTATCGCCCATGTGTTGGGTTAAATGCAGAGAACTAATTTCATCATTGTTTGGGAACATGCAGTGATGACAACACATAGCACTTATACTTACTTAAGCTTCATTAAGTGGGGCGGTTGTGGCTGAGTGGTAAGAGCAGTCATCCTCCAATGCGAGAGTTGGGGGTTCGAAACCACCAGCAGTCACATGCCGAAGTGTCCCTGGGCAAGACACTGAACCCCTCGTTGCCTCTGATGTGTGTCCCATTGGTGTCCCATGGGTGTGTGAATGTGATCTAAAACACTGATTAGTCTCTTTAGAATGATTTGTTCAATTAGCTTTGTAGAGCTCTAGTAGAGTGCTGTATGAAATGGGTAAATGAGGACACAGATTGTAGTGTAAAGCGCTTTAAGTATCTTGAAATAAGATGGAAAGGCGCTATATAAGTACAGTCCATCCATTACAGTCCATTAAGTGGATCATGAAATATTCATGAACTTGGGCCAACATCAGCATGAAAACGACCTTGAAGAGGCTCGTAAGTACGGATCAGCAGAATGCACCAGCATCTGGCCATTTCAGACCTTGGAAGTAGTACAGACTCAAAGGATGACAATTTAACTTTAATTTAAATTTAACTCTCCAGTCGGCCTCGAAACAGGCGGACTTATCAGTTTCTCCTGGGAAATGTGTAAACTAAGGAAAAAACTTTGTCTATTGCACCGCCCACCCCCCTCTGTGGAGGCTTATCAGAACTGTGCCGACTGACCATCATCTTATCAGGACAATGTAGTGCTTCATGGACCGCCTTGTTTGTAAATACATATATAGCATGTTCATAAATGTGCTTGCTGGCAGAGTTTTTTTGATGTCTTAAATTGTGTCCTGTTAGGACAAGGTGTGACAAGATCTTTTTTGTAATGCCACTATACTCTCCTAATGGCTTTGTCCCTTTTTCTATCTAAACAATGTATTCTGAAAAGAATAAGAAGACTACGCTTTATAGCAACAGCTTCGTGCACTCCGCCCATCTTAGGGACAGCTGTACGGACATATTCTTGTTGTATCTCGGTGCAATGAGAATAAAGCTCATTCTGATTCTGATTCTGAACATGATCACAATTTTGGTGATAAAATAACTAACTTTGTTGTAGGTGAATATTTTGGCCTTCCTGTGTCCTGTGGAAAGATCTGTTTCTGACTGCCCTCTAACGTCATGTGTTCTGTCTCACAGGGAGCTGATGGTGTGCGCGGCCTCAAAGGAAACAAAGGTGAAAAGGTGAGATATTTCTGCAGGAGGGGATGGAGATTGCATCACCTTTATGATAAAAAAAAAAAAAAAATCTTCAGTAGGGATGCTGGCGCTTGTGATTACAGTGTTGATTGTGGCTGATTGTCCTGCTTCCTAATCATAATACCCTCAGTTAAATCCTGAAAAACACTTGAACATTTTGCTGTTACAAGAGGAGGAAACAGCCTTTCAGGGGTTTCTATGGCACCGAGGGATGGATATATGGTGCTCTGCTCTTGTGTCTCTGTGTTTTTTTCTCTGCGTGTTTTCATATGAATACATAAAGAAAGAAATCTTTTTAAAAGTTTGTTTGTTTGTGATGTCAGGGTGAAGACGGCTTCCCTGGCTTTAAGGGAGACATGGGGATCAAAGGTGACAGGGTAAGCTTTGTTTTCATGTCAATCTCGTCATGCATCACTCTGACTGAAACACGTTTAACTTCTGAACTGTTTGTTGGAGGGGACCTTTTCTCTCACAGGCCTCTTCTATTAACCAGAGACTTGTTGACCACAGTGGAATTATGGGTAATGACCAAACATACTGTGTTCACAATGTTCACCTACTGTATGCACTAACTCCTTACATTGTGGTCGCTTTAATACTAGACTAATGTTGAACAGGGAATAATGTAGTGGGGATTTTTTTGCATTTCCATCAGTACTTGAATGCATCATACTTTATTATTATGCACTGAGTATTCAGTTAGTTGTTTCATAAAAAAAACAAATCAACATGTTACGTTGGAACACACGCCTGAATGGGAGGTGATGGATGGCAAAATCCGTTGGTTTTAGCTGAGAAAATGTAATTAACATCATCTGTCTCCCTAACACTGACAGAATTATTTTTTACATCTGTTTGTTACATTTTGTTGTTGGGTTGTCTCATTAGCTCAGCGTGAACAACTGCAGTTACTGTATCACAGCCTTCAGCAAACTAAAATTATGAATTAAAATTTCCCATAAAATACTTTTTAGAGTTGCACTGTGTGGAAATGTTACAAACAATTACAGCTAGGCTGTGATTTACGTGTTTTAAATCATATTGACAATTATCCTTAAATCAAAAAAATTGCATGATAAATTTATGAATGACGTGTGGGTTTCCATTCAAAAACAGCATAAGTGACTGACCAACAGCACGTCTATAGGAGAGACGTCTGAGAAAAAATTTAATATTGTGCTGTGTATTCATGCTCTGATGTGTTGAGTAAAGTACGCAGGGAAAATGCTTCATTTACACTGGCTGTGGACGCACATTTTTGAATTGCAAATCTACCTATCTGTAAAACAACTGGAGTAAACTCTTTTAGAGTAAAACCTTTTTTATGTATGATACATAAAAATTCTTGTAATTTCTCAGCTCAGAGTAGGAGACAAGCCACTTTATGTACATTAGAGATGTATAGCAAATGGAACGCATTTTCAGCAAGTCTGAAAGTCACAATAATGAGCTGTGGACGTTAGCATTAGCCTTCCGTGTCAGCTCACTGTGGGCTATGTCCTCTGCTGTTTTGTACATCCTCTGTTTTGCTTATAGTTTCTTGAACACTACATAGCAGTGGTGTAGTCTGCGCGATACGCAGGTATTCAGAGTATACCCACTAGAAAAGCTTAAGAATTTCAGTATACCCACTTAAAAGTGCCCAATGATACATGACATATCATTAGTTACATGTCATTGATACATTAAACAGCAGTTAAATGCTTCCGTAATAATCTATCTGTATGCAGCGCTTGCTTATTACATTTGCTTGTCCAGTGAATTATTGTATAATTAATACTTCTGTACTTACTACTTAATACTTGAACATGTTTTACTTTGATGCTTTTTAAATAAATTCTATAACATTTTTAATACAAAGCCAACTGTTGTACAACGTTTGTTGTTCTTTTATTTAAATATAAGCATCAGAGAAATTTGGAAATGTTCAATATGCTTAAAAATCGAATTAAACTGATGATTACATTGTACTAACTGCTGTACTTTGGTTTCTAAGCACAGTCTACCCACTACAAAAATGTGGACTTCACCACTGCTACATAGTAAATGTAAAATTACAGAAAACATTTTGAAAAGCTCTACAACATGGCACATTCACGCTACAGGGTATGATATAGTGAATGGGTGGACAATCAAAAACAGCCTAGGTATTGTTCTGGTTGACAGCTGCAGTGATCATCGCATCTGTCTCTGAACAAATGGAGGCAGAAATCAGTGGCTGTCGACAGTCTTGGGGCTTCAGCCATGTTTTCCTCTGGAGATGATATTGAGCTGCACAAAAACAAAACTTTGAAGAATCCCTCTGCTTTCTAGATGCACACACAACTCTACTGTAAATTAGTTGTTTTGAAGGCGGCCAAGAAAAAAAAGTTTTCTAGAGTGTTTGATGAAGCAGCAGTCAAGTGCAGTTAGCTTGGATGTGGGTTTGTGTTTAAGTGGATCCCGTTAGACCAGCAGGCCTCATTGGATGTCCAATTTGTTCTGTCGTTCAGTGTGCTTCCTTTTAAGGCAGAGAGAGGCACAAATCAGAGCACTTTTACAGGCGTAGCATTTGTTGAAGGAAGGCATATCACCCGACACTTAGTGCCAGGATTTTAGTCCAAAAATGCTCTTGTATTGAGAAATGACAGCTTTTCATACATTTTATTCAAAGCTTAAATTATTCCAAAACATAATCAGTTGTTGATGTGCATCCAAAATTTATTTTGTGAAACTTTTTTTAAATCTGTAAAAATATTAATGATATTTTGTTAACAGACTAACAGTTTTGACTACAACAGATAATGCCAAAGTTTTAAACAAAGATGTCACGCAGTGCACTGAGCTTAAAGTTTACAATGGAGAAAGACACTTTTGTGCTTTTATAGTGTCAATTGGCTGTGGCGGCCATCTTGAATCAGATCGCCTCCAAAAGTTAATTGGATATAGCTGACAACCCACTGATTATTTTCTGTAAGTTTCATTTAAATTTGTGTAGTGATTCATGAAATATTTTTGCTGACATTACAGATAAAGAAACACACATACATAAGGTCCGCTGAAAAAACTCTACTTTTGCTTAACTGAATATTTTAAGCAAATTTATATGGAAAACAAAAGGCAACCTGAACCTACTCAGAACAGAACTGCTTGTTCAGTAATTCAGTAATGTTGACTTTGTAGTCTTTTAATTTCTAGCCAAAAATATATAGAGTGAAGAGAAAGAAAATTGAAGCATCTGTAGAACGGACTCAGCAGGCTAGTCATGTTATTACTCTAATGGTCAGCAGGTGGCAGTAATGGTCAGAGACCTGGCTGTGCTCAGAAATAAAACACATGTAGCAGGCTTGAATGCTATAGAGAACAGGTTACTGTATTGAAAACAGATGAAAGTTTTTCTTTAATTATTTAGTTTATTTAGTTTAATTTTAATTTGGTCTGATTTTGAGTCATCTCCTTGAACAGGCCAGGGTGTCTGAAGATTCCCAGTGTTCCTCTTCTGTCTGTTATAAACATTGTGTTATGTTGTGGTTCTTCTGTTCAGGGAGAACTTGGACCAGCTGGACCCAGAGGAGAAGATGGTCCAGAGGGGCCAAAAGGTCGCTCTGGGCTCCCAGGGGATGCGGGTCCACTTGGCCCTAATGGTGAAAAGGTGAGGGTTTTTTTTTTTCTTCATATATTGAGTAAACAAGGTTTGTATTTATCTTCAACAATGAGGTTAAAAAGAAATATGAGTTCTCGTGGTTCTGATCCAAACAACAAGCATCTGGAACTCTGGATTCAGTTACTAATTGAGGACGAGATCACAGACCTTACTGAATGTAATGGCTGTGAATAACATTAGCCAACAACATTTCTTACGGCAAATCACTAAATTATTTTCAGTATAATAACTCAGCTGATTGTTTTATGACAAGGTGCTAAATAAACTTTTTTCATTTGAAAGTGGAAGATGTGTTTTGAACAGAGTCCTAATGCTGCACAGCTCCAGTTCCTGAAGATACTTCCTCAGAGTGACATCCACATAACCTAATTTCTATTCTATTCTATTCTATTCTATTCTATTCCATTTCAGTCATGGTCAAACTGTAAATGTGTAAATCTTGTTTTCCTAATTTTATTTTGTTATATGTTCATTACCATCTCACTACTGCACACTGTGTATTATTCATGTTTCTAAACATCCAGCACATTCAGGAGGTGTGTACTATTGACTGTTGACTTTTGTAACTTCAATACTTTTCAAAACGTTTAGCTTTATTAAAAAAAAAATAAAATAAAAAAATTCCATAAAACAAATCAGGTCTTTTCAATTCCTCCAAAACCTTTGTTCTTTGTTAAATTTGATCCAGCATATTTTTGTCATGGTCTGCAGTTTAATGGTTTGAACCCACGTGCAGGAAAAACAGGAGGACTCGATAATGAACAATAACTAATAATTTATTGAACAAAACAAAATGCTGACGGGGCAGCAAAACTTAATTCGAATATAATATAATAGGTGGAGCAGACACAGACCATAACACTGTGGAAGGATAAAGCCCGGATCCCAAAGGAGTGAAAACACACAGTCTAAATACTGACACTGATGAGACAATGAGGAGCACCTGGGGTGATTTAGAATAAGGATCAGCTGTGGATGATGACATGGGGAACAGAGGTACAGGAAAACAGAGACAGAACCATGACATAACCCCCCCCCCCCCCCCCCCAAGGGTGGCACCTGACACCCCCAAAACGGGCCCCCACATAACTAGGGAGGTAGGGGGGAGGAGACAGGATGGAGGGCACAAGAAGAAAAACCCCCAAGGACGAGAGAAAAAGAAAAGCCGACAGGATGGGACCTGGGAAAACTGAAAAAGGGGGAAGAGCACCCATGCCCAAGAGTCCAGGTGGATGGCCAGGGGACCATCCAGGGTGAGGCAGGTGTCCAGGTAGCCGGTCAGATGGTCGTCCATTGCCTCTTATGGGTGGTGTGCGCCTGGACCCTCCTTGAGTCAGACCGGAGAGAGGTGATGAAACCGGTGACCCTGCAGCAGGCGAGGGTCCCGGAGACCCTTAAGCAGGGGTAGAGACCACCTCAGGAGCTGCATGTGGTGTAGGAAACAGCTTGGAAGCTTCATGTGGCGTGGGGTCCTCGAGAGGCATGGGACACTCAGGAGCTGCAGGAGGCTTGGGACCCAGAAGAGACTTGGGACCCACGGGGGCCGCAGTCGGAGTGGAGGCTCGTGGAGCAACAGCCGGCGACGTGGGGCCCTGTGGGGCTGCAGGAGGCGACGTGGGGCCCAGTGGAGCTGCAGCAGGCGACGTGGGGCCCCGTGGAGCTGCAGCAGGCGACGTGGGGCCCCGTGGAGCTGCAGCAGGCGACGTGGGGCCCCGTGGAGCTGCAGCAGGCGTGGAAACCCCAGAGGTGACAGCTGGTGTGAAAATCAGCGTGGCCGGTGCTGGTGTGGAAACCAGCAAGTCTAGTGAGTCCACAGCCAGTGGTGCAGGGCAGACAAAGTAATCTCCAACCCCCATTGAAACACAGGTGTGGGGGGCCGTCCTCCACACAAGCCACAGACACGCAGGTGCGGGGGCCGTCCTCCCCACAAGCCACAGACACGCAGGTGCGGGAGTTCGGCTACTCATTTTTTTGAGGTGACCCTTCAGCTGGATGAGAGCCCGATCGCCATTCTGGCAAGTGAGGGCTCAGGTACCCCTCCACCAGCAAAATTCTCCCCTCTCACCCTGGTGCGTCTTGGAAGGTGGATGGAGGAGCTGCAGGTCGGTGGATCCATTCTGGTTCTGCCGTCTGGACCTAATGCCATGGCGGCGTGAGTCAGGACCAGGAACAAGCTGGAACTCTTCCGACTCGGGATCCTCTCCTGAGCAGGTGGCAGAAAAATGGCGAGGGTGTGGAGAGGAACGCGGCGGTGGAGAGCAGCACACAGGCTTAATGGCCAGATGCATTCTGTAGAACTGGGATGTCCGCTTCTCTTCCTCCTCTACCAGGAGCGGAGATGGAAGGACTTCCACCTCGCAGCTGCGAGTGTTTCATCTCCGGGCAAGTCTGGACTCCTCCAGCTGACAGCCGCCCCATCGGATGATGGGCTTCGCCTCCTCTCGCTCCTTCTTCTCCTTCTCCCGCTGGGCAGTTTTGTCTGCCTCACGGGCGAGCCATTTAAAAATGTCCTGCTGGGTTCTTTATGATCCGGGCTTTCTGTCATGGTCTGCAGTTTAATGGTTTGAACCCACGTGCAGGAAAAACAGGAGGACTCGATAGTGAACAATAACTAATAATTTATTGAACAAAACAAAATGCTGACGGGGCAGCAAAACTTACTTCGAATATAGTACAATAGGTGGAGCAGACACAGACCATAACACCGTGGAAGGATAAAGCCCAGATCCCAAAGGAGTGAAAACACACAGTCTAAATACTGACACTGATGAGACAATGAGGAGCACCTGGGGTGATTTAGAATAAGGATCAGCTGTGGATGATGACATGGGGAACAGAGGTGCAGGAAAACAGAGACAGAACCATGTCAATTTTTTCTACTTTTCTAGTCTTAAGCTTCTGTTCTGCTGCTTTTAACTTTTGTCCAGTCTTTTGCTACTTTGTTTTTTTGCCACACTTCAGGACTTCAGCTTTTCGCTCACCTTTAGCTTCTTTTAGATCGAGTTGCTTCTTTTAACTAGCCTTGTGCTACTTTTACTTTTTAGTTAGTGTTTTGCTACATTTATCTATTATATTGCCACTTTAAGATTGTACCTAGTGTTCTTATTTTTTCACTTTAGCAACTCAGTTTCAGCTTCTTCAGCTAATTTCAGCAAAGCTCTCCAGCTCTCAGCAATAAATGTCAGTCAGTTGTGTCCATGTTTAACTAGAATCTACTCAGCGGATAAACACAGTTGTTTGCATTAGAGCAGGAGTATGATTACTTTTGTTAAAACCAAATTATGAAAAATGTGAAAATGTTTTAGCCTTCTTACAATGAAGCAGGAACTGTAAAAATAAAAAAATTAGCATCAGCTGAGCATGGCAGTAGGAGGCATCATGTTCAGGTGCAGCTGACTAAAATGCCAAACAGCTACAAACAGTTTCATTCACAGTAAAATCCATCCATCCATCCATTTTCTTTACCCGTTTATTCCATTTTGGGTCACGGGGGTCGCCGGTGCCCATGTCCAGCAATCACTGTGCGAGGGGCGGTGTACACCCTGGACGGGTCGCAAGTCCATCACAGGGCCACATAGAGACAAACGAGACAAACAACCATTCCCTTTCTCACTCACACCTAGGGACAATTTAGAGTTACCGATCAGCCTAACATGCATGTTTTTGGTCTGTGGGAGGAAACTGGATCACTCGGAGAAAATCCATGCATGCACGGAGAGAACATGCAAACTCCACCCAGAAAGGCCCCTGGACCGGGGTTTGAACCAAGGACCTGCTCGCTGAGAGGCAGCAGTTCTACCAGTTGCGCCACCCTGCTGCCCACAGTAAAATGTTATTTTAATTTTAAAGTACTGCAAATAAACAAATCACATCACCAATGTCACATTTACATAAATTATTTAAAACCTTGTATTCCGTAAAAGAATGCATTTATTTCATGACATTTTATGGCAGAATCTTAAACTAAGATGTCATGATGACAAATGGACTTTAAGCAGGTTTAGTAAAAAATGTAAAAATACATTCAAATTGCATGTTGAGGATGATGCTCAGCTACTACCACATCAGCTTGGTGGCCACATTAAATTAAGTGGACTCCAAAAGTTATTCAGGTGAAGATGTATGTTCAACAACTTTCGTCCATGGTCCTACTGTGCTGGCACCGTCCCCCATATGCCACAATGGGGTAGCTGTGGCTGAGTGGTTAGAGCAGTCATCCTCCAATGTGAGAGTTGGCGGTTCGAATCCACCAGCAGTCACATGCCGAAGTGTCCCTGGGCAAGACACTGAACCCCTCATAGCCTCCGATGTGTGTCTCATCGGTGTTTGAATGTGATAAAGCACTGATTAGTCTCTGTAGAATGATTTGTTCAATTAGCTTTGTAGAGATCTAGTAGAGTGCTGTATGAATGGGTAAATGAGGACACAAATTGTAGTGTAAAAGCGCTTTGCGTATCTTGAAATAAGATAGAAAGGTGCTGTATAAGTACAGTCCATTTACCATTTACAACTTTCTTAAATGTTATTAAAATCTGTTCACACTGCAAATACCGGTAACTAATTTCAAGAAAGTAAAAAAAACAAAAAAACTGTTTATAGTAATTTTTTTTCTTATTTTTGATCTAAAAAGAAAACAATTCTTAACAAGCAAATGTTGCATAAGAAAATTACACTCATTTTAAAAACACATGTCTAACTTTTTCTAAGTAATACATATTTCAGCTCATCTTGAGCATTTTTTTTACTAGTTTCAGGACAGTGCTTTGGTTGAAATTCCAGAATAAGATTATGTTTTCTTATTTTCAAAGTAAAACAATTTTTTTTCTCAATTTAAGAAATATATTAATGACACTAGTGTGAAATAATGGCTGTCATAATGTTTCACAATTAAACATAATGCTTTTCTTACATATATACATACAATCTACACACAGTCTTTCTAACATGAACAAAAGCTCAACAACTCAAAGCACATGTTGAACATGAAATACAGTTCAACAAACCCAATTTGAAAAACACAGCTTTCACTTAAAGCCAGGTCAAACAGATCAACATCTTCAGCATATCTAACCATGAGCCAAAAACATGACTGCTGGACTAAAGGATCAGTGGTACAGGGTACTTTGAGGTATTGGGATTTTGGCTTGGATCCAGTAACTCTCAGGCTTACTAATAATAAAATTATGAACAAATATGACTGCCTTGAATGAATAAAACTTATACTGGATATGTAAACTGAACATAATTACATAAACATTAATTTTAAACACAACAGCACACGATCCGCCTCTTCAAGTGAAACATTTCCACTTCTCCCCTAAAAGAGTGAAGTGCTGAGCAGGAAGTCGTCACGGGCAGCAGCAGGGCAGGTGCCTGGAGGTTTCACATGTAGAGTCGGACAACAATTAGCAGGGACAGAATCGGGCTCGGGCCAGAGCCCGACTTGACGATTCTTCAAGTAATGGCTGGGGTGGCGGGAGGGTTGACAGAAGCGGAGTGTTTACAAATGTAGGAAAATGTAGATGTTTAACAACCCATTAAAACACACCAAAATGCAGGAAATCACATCTACTTTATTAAAAATGTTCAGGATTTACAAGTTTCAGCCTTTATTGTAAGTTATTGAAAAAAGTATTTTTGGGGTGTTTTTGTATTTGTGTTAAATTACTGTAAGAAGTCTGATGTATTAGTGTCCCATAGAAAGTTTGTGACTTGTCAAATGTTTGTTCTTTCCAGGGTAAACTTGGAGTTCCTGGATTACCCGGATACCCAGGGAGACAAGGACCAAAGGCAAGTTTTTATTTTTTCTTCTAACAGCATCGTTGACTGAATTCAGAATAATAGATGGAGTTCATCTGGGCTAAATGTGTCTGAAAGAGAAAGAAAAATTCTGCTGTGCTGAACATTTGATGCCTCATCTTTTAGCAAGCAGAGCTGCAGTCTGACAGCTCAAGATGCTGAAGCTTCCTGATCAAAGGGCGTGTGCGTGTGTATGTGTGTGTGTGCGTGTGCGTGTGCGTGTGTGTGTTGGGGGTAATGTGTCAGCCCTCAAATATTGATGAGATAACAATAAAACACTGATTCTCTTAGAGTAACAGGCTGGGAGGATGACTAATTACTCTTCTTCTGACACACAGGGATCTCAGGGTTTCCAAGGCTTCCCGGGCGCTAACGGAGAGAAAGGATCTCGGGTATGTTCAACAAATCTCTTCTTGTCTGTGTCAGCCCTACAGGTGTTGGACAGGTGGACCTTCAGAGACAGGTTTTTATTCCATATGCAGGTTTATCCTGAACCAGATTTCACTGAGGCAGCTGCGTTCCTTTCTCATCTCCACTGAAACGACCATAAGCAGCGTCTACCACTCGGCAGTGCCAGAGCAACGTTTCCTTAGCTTTGTTTAAAGAATGGGCCATTAGCTTGCCTGAAAGAGTAATGGTTTGTCACCACGACTGGAGCCTGGCCAATAAAGCTTTTCATCTTCACGGGACATTTAGGATCTTTATTAGACCAACCCTGAAGACAGAAAGGGATAATAATGTTTTCACACCATTTCATAGCTTATCTAAAAGTTAAAAGCTACACAAAGTGTGCAACTGTTGTGTCATTAAGCCCAGTTGGACCCACTTTATTTATGTTGCAGTATAACTGTTTTATTAAGTGTTAATGTGTATTAAAAGCTATATTATGGGTAAGTAATGGCTCAAATGTCAGCAAAGATAACTGTTAAAAGTTGGTAACTCTTAATTAAGGGTGCCAATGCAACCAGAGAACCCTTGTCGTGGATTGTGCAGCTTAGCAAGAAAATAAAACAAACATGCAATTTATAGACTGTTATGTGCAATTCAGTTTGGAATAGTGTTTTATGATTTCTGCTAGTGGTACTTTATACCATATAGACATACTGACCAAAGGGGGACAAAAAAGCAAGAAAAAGTATTGTAGGTCAATGGCCTTTTGGCATTTTATGATTTTTACAGATTTTTCTACAGAATGTCCAACCAATACACATTCTTTAAAACTGTCTAACATGACAAAAAAAAAACAAAAAAAACACACAATCTGTTACTGCTCCTACATACATAAATTTTAAATCAGAAGCTAAGCATTTTTGTCTTCTTTCTCCCTGTGTGTCTCTCACTTCTATGGGACTTGTAGTAAAAATTCAGGGGCAACAAAGTTTCTTGATTCTGTTAAAGTTTAGCATAAACTTTTCTATTTGAAACAGGAAGTGACTGTACAGTATTTTGAACTTGTTGGGTCTACATAGACATTGTCATAAAAATTCACAAGCAAAAACTTTAGTCACTGCTGCTCATGGTTAAAGAACATGTCAAATTTGATATAGATTTATGCAGTGTTTGTTTGTTTGAGGCAGTCAGGGAGTAACAGACATGTGTGGTTACCATGGTGACTGTAATGACTCTGTCAGCAGCTTTAACATATTTTTGATGTTTTTTCAACACTTACACAGTTCTTTTTTCAAAAGGTAGTGATTTTTTTTGCCTTAAATTAATACAAAGTAATCTAAAAAAGTTAAATCTGGTCCTCTGGACATTAAAAAACAAAAAACAAAGCAAATCATTAAAAAAATGTAGAAACGTTTCGTCTCTCATCCGAGAGACTTCCTCAGTCTGAGGAGCTGTATTCAGCTCAGTCTCTTAAATAGCACCATCTCAGAGTGGATCAACCAATTTTGCTGCTGACAACCAAAACCAGCTGATCACATGCTCAAGAAGGACCATCAGCCTAACAATGGATCATTAGCACACTGATGGCTGTTTACTGTTCACAGAGGGCTGAGTGATACTAGCAATCACAGCATTGTAAGAGGGGGACAGTTGAACCCGGAGGCCTCCACCCCTGTTTAATGATGGACTATTAGACACGTTGTTAGTTTCTGTTTAATGTGCTCTTCTTTGGCCTTCAAGGCCTCAATAGTAAAATTGGTCTGTCTCACCCGTTCATTCAGCAGCTGTGTCTGTGCCTTCTGAAGGCACAGACTGTACTCGTCCCTTTAGTTGGCAGCTCAGAACACCACATACAGAACACCATGGACTTTGTGGACAAGGTGAGGGATGTCATCATGGAGACTGATGAAACAATGGTCTCTTTTGATGTCACATCACTCTTTACGTGCATTCCTGTTGATGATGCAGTAGAGGTGGTCAGTTTAAAATTAAAATCAGACACCACTCTGAGCAGCAGGACCACACTTTCCACAGAACAACAGTGTCAACTCTTGAAACTGTGCCTGCAGTCAACCTACTTCACATATGGGGAGCGATATTATAGGCAGAAACATGGGTGTGCTATGGGGTCTCCAGTTTCTCCTATTGTTGCCAACCTGTACATGGAGGACGTAGAAAAGAGAGCCTTGACATCCTTTTCAGGGACACCACCAAGTCATTGGTTCATGTATGTTGACGACACCTGGGTTAAAATCAAATCTCAGGAAGTCCATCATTTTACTGACCACATCAACTCTGTGGATAAATCAAGTTCACACGAGAAGATGTAAAAAATGGCAGGTTGGCTTTCTTGGACTGTGAGGTCTCAGTCTCTGATAGAGGACATTTGCAAACTGAGGTGTACCGCAAACCCACCCACACAGACCAGTATTTACAGTTTGACTCCCATCACCCTTTGGAGCACAAGTTAGGAGTCATAAGGACTCTGTATCACAGAGCAGACAGCGTCCCCACTTGCTCAGGAGCCAGGCAGAAGGAGAAATCCCACACAAGACAGGCTCTAGAGCAATGTGGATATCCTAACTGGGCCTTCCTGAAAGCAGAGAAGAAACCCAAACAGGACTCCAGTCAGTCAACAGGTGAAAAGGAGGAACCCAGACCCAGACCAGTGGTCATTCCATATGTTGAGGGAGTATCAGAGAAACTGAGACGTTTATTTTCTAAACATAACGTCCCAGTGGCTTTTAAACCCCAAAATACATTACGGCAAAGACTGGTTCATCCCAAAGATCCAGTCCCCCGGCACAAACCGAGCAATGTTGTGTATGCTGTTCAGTGTCAGGAGGGCTGTGATCAGTCTTACATCGGGGAAACAAAACAGCCACTGGCCAAAAGGATGGCCCAGCACAGAAGATCAACATCATCAGGCCAGGACTCTGCGGTCTACACTCATCTCCAGGCCAGCGGTCACTCTTTCACTCTTTCAGGGATGAAGATGTTCACATCCTGGACAGAGAGGAACGATGGTTTGGGAGAGGAGTAAAGGAGGCCATCTTTGTGAAAAAGAAATCGTTCATCGTTAAACAGGGGTGGAGGCCTCCTGGTTCAACTGTCCCCCTTTTACAATGCTGTGATTGCTAGTATCACTCAGCCCTCTGTGAACAGTAAACAGCCATCAGTGTGCTAATGATCCATTGTTAGGCTTATGGTCCTTGAGCATGTGATCAGCTGGTTTTGGTTGTCAGCAGCAAAACTGGTTGATCCACTCTGAGACGGTGCTATTTAAGAGACTGAGCTGAATACAGCTCCTCAGACTGAGGAAGTCTCTCGGATGAGAGACGAAACGTTTCTACATTTTTTTGTTGATTTGCTTTGTTTTTTTGTTTTTTTTTAATGTCCAGAGGACCAGATTTAACTTTTTTAGATTGTTCTACCTGGATTATTGAGCATGCATCAGGATAATACAAAGTAATGCTGGAATTTTGGGTGGTGCAGTGGTTTGTACTGTTGCCTGACCGCAGCCAAGAAGGTCACAGGTTTGCTTCCTGGACTTTCTGTGTGGAGTTTGTATGATTTTCCCATGCACATGTGGGTTTTCTCCAGGTAATTTTATCTGACAAAAAAACATGCATATTAGGTGAAATGGTTACTAAATTGTCTCTAGGTGTGCGTGCAAGTGTGGATGGTTGGTTGTATCGACTGGGTCCATGTGGCCCTGTGATGGACTGGAGACCTGTCCAGGGTGTCCCCTGCCTCCTGCACAATGTGCTCTAGAGATAGGCACATTCACCCACAACCCAAATAAAAAAAGGGTAAAGTGGATGGATGGATGAATGGTGGGTGGGTGGGTGTATGTATGTATGTATGTATGTATGTATGTATGTGTGTGTGTGTGTGTGTGTGTGTGCGTGCGTGCGTGTGTGCGTGCGTGCGTGCATGTATGTATGTATGTATGGGTGGATGTATGTATGTATGTATGTATGTAATTTTTGGTAGTAGCTGCTTTAGCAAACTCCAAAATGATTTTCATTTCAGAACCTTTCCTGTTATGATAAAACAAACTGAGCTGTGTTAGAGATCTCATCAGATTTGTTGTCCAGCTCTTTGATAACTCAAGTATCTGTGTGTTGTGCATGTCCACAGGGAACAGGAGGAAAGCCTGGCCCGCGTGGACAGAGGGGACCAACGGTTAGTCTTACTCAGCACACTTGATCTTATCCACACATGGCAAACTTGGCATCTGAGCAAAACTAGAGGCTCAACATGAAGCTTCTTGAGGAGAAGCCAACCTAAAACAACAGTTAATCTCAGCATATTTAGCTAAACAGTTTCTTCTGTGGGCTACGTTTTTATTGACCTTTTCTTTTACTTCAGGGACCTCGAGGAGAAAGAGGACCAAGAGGACCAACAGGGAAAGCTGGGCCCAAAGTATGCAAAATATTTTACTGCAGATTTCAAATTTATGTTTATGAACAATTCAGTGAACTTCCTGTTTTGTGTGTTCAGGGTAACTCAGGAAATGATGGCCCACCAGGACCTCCGGGTGAGAGGGTATGTACTATCACTTCGTCTAATACGAGGATATTTGCAGGTCCAAAACAAATCATTGGTTTCTAACAAGAGATTATGGTGTTTTCAGGGCTTACCAGGACCTCAGGGACCAACAGGATTTCCAGGACCAAAGGGCCCACCTGTGAGTCCACACAGAGACCCATTCTGCCTCTTTTTGGTTTGCCGTAGATTTCATTTTAGATTGATTGAATTGTGTGAACCTTTCAGGGACCTCCAGGAAAAGACGGACTGCCAGGACATCCTGGTCAGAGAGGAGAAACTGTGAGTTCATTTGTTTGAGTTCTCTCATCTTATTTAGTCCGCCAAATCTGTTCTGTGACAGTTATGTGTTTTCTTCTTATTTTATTTAATTTTAAATTTTCAGGGATTCCAAGGAAAGACGGGTCCTCCTGGTCCTCCGGGTGTGGTCGGACCTCAGGTGAGCATCAGTCACTTTTTCAAAGGTTGAGTCACAATGAGGTTTTTGTGTTATTTTGCATTCGCTGAGCAGCTTACATTCACTCAGTGTCTTTGTAATTGTTGACCAGTTATTGTTTATTTGGACAAACTGCACAAAAGCAAACGAGAAACCAAGACTTTATAGTAAAACCAGTTTCTGTTGGTCCAGTAACAGCTAACTTTTTATTGCACCTGCATCATGAGAGCCATGGTGTTGTTTAATTTTTTTTTTTTAGATTAGCTCTGGCCTGTTCATTTTAATGAATTCCATTATACATTAATGTTTAGCAACATTTACCCCCAAGCATCTCTGATAATGATTCATGACAACAAACTTATATTGCAGATTTGATGAACAGTGCGTCTCCTACACAGCAAATCCACAAGATGTTTATTGCACATATTTAATGGTTATTTATCTTGCTCTGCATTTTTTGTTATTGTTCTTCAAACCATGTGCGTTAAGGATTTTAGTACTTTAACCTCCAGAAGTGTATTCCTGCTGTTCTTTTACCCTTTTTACATTGGAACTGTAGGGACCAACGGGTGAAACTGGACCAATGGGAGATCGGGGCCACCCTGGACCTCCAGGCCCACCTGGTGAGCATGGTCTGCCTGGCCCTGCAGGGAAAGAAGGCGCTAAGGTAAATTTCTGACCCTAAATAGATATTTATTAACATTACCTTTGTTTAAAGCCTAAACCTTAAATTTACCCACATATGTGCATCAATGATGTCTCGTCACTTGTAGGGAGACCCTGGTCCTGCTGGCCCAGCAGGTAAAGATGGCCCCCCTGGGCAAAGAGGTTTCCCTGGAGACAGAGGTCTTCCCGGTCCTGTGGTAAGTACAGACATCTGCTCAGTGCTCAGTAATTCTTCAATACTACAAAATCAGCAAATTGGTCCTAAGGTAACAGCTGCTGATGAAGAAGTTGCATGGTAAAATGTGTGAATATCACAGATGCTACCAGATGTTAGAGAGGACTTCTGAGGACAAAATCTATATTTTAGGTCCAACAATAGCAGACTGCACTTCAGATGAGGGTATCAGTTTTCTAAGTGGACTTCAGAGGACAAGCTAGATTTTTGTAGGTCCATTAGCTGACTACATTTCAGAGGAGCAATCAGATCTCTGAGTTCAAGTTCAAGTCAGTTTACTGTCATTCACATCACATGTGGTACATGAGGTGGAACCAAATCATGCACACAGGGCCCCATTTACACCCAAAAATAGCAAAATATGAGCATAAAAAGAAACAGTAGATAGCCTAAATTTCTAAGATATACACTAAGACATATGCTAAACAAACACTAATAATGTAAAACAATACAACATAACAACAGCAGCCTTAACACAAGTCTGTGGTGAGCAGGTGGGTATGAATGAATACAGCAGCATGAGATAATCAGCAGCCTGAGATCAGCAGCAGCCTGAGAACAGTAGCGTATATAATCAGCAGCACATATAAGTCACTTATCACCAAATAAAGTGGCATTTCAGTGATTTTCCTGGTTAGAGATCCAAGAGTTTAACAGCTTCAGGGTAGAAGCTGTTCCACAGTCTAGTGGTTCTACTTAATGCTCCTCATCCTCCTACCTGAGGAGAGCGGGGCAAAGAGTGTGTGTGCTTCGTGAGTGCGATCCTTCATGATGCAGGTGGCCCTCTTCCTGCGTCTGGAGCTGAGTGGATGTCAAAGGAGATATCACAATAGATTCATTTTAAATTGCAACCTCCAACTTAATAGATCTATGTTTATGAGTTTACTCATTTTTTGTTAGTCAGATCTCAGCTGTAGAAACAATGACGATTTTTACTTGTGGAATCATCCATTTTGACAAATACTAGCATTTCTGTTATGACTCAGGACGTTTGCAGCGGCGATGATAAAGAAATGTTTCTGCCATCTGCTCAGCCTCTGCTGTAGACAACAGGAGGTTTTCCACCTCATGCTGAGCTGGTTTAAAGATGGGGAGTCTGGAAGGCAGGATGCTTCCTCAACAGATGTGTTCAATTCCTCTGAAACCTTTGTTTAATTTGTGCTCTGCAGGGGGCTCATGGACTGAAAGGGAACGAGGGTCCACAAGGCCCACCTGGTCCAGCTGTGAGTGAGACTTCATCTTACTCATCACCAACCTTATTCTGTCTGAGAGATTTTTTCATTCTAGACTCTTTCATTTATAAAATAATCTCATATCTATTTAATGAACCTGATTCTATGATGTGTGGTGTTTGGTTTATTATTTTAATGACTGTCATGTGGTGCTGCTGCAGGGTTCTCCTGGTGAGCGGGGTCCTGCTGGTCCAGCTGGCCCTACAGGTCTGCCTGGACGTTCTGGTCCTCAAGGACCTCCAGGCCCTGCTGGAGAGAAAGGTGGACCTGTAAGTATATTTCCTTATAGAATTATCTATGACCTGCTAAATGTATTAGTCTCTGTCTGAAGTGATTGTGTGTTGTTGAACTATCACAAAAATAAATAAATAAATCTAGGGAGAGAAAGGACCTCAAGGCCCAGCTGGAAGAGATGGTATTCAGGGACCTGTGGGTCTACCAGGACCTGGAGGACCCCCTGGACCACCTGGAGAGGATGGAGACAAGGCAAGTTTCTTTTCATGGCTTGTTTCCTTGTCTGTGTGAATCAAAGTGGGACATAGTTTAGTTTGTTCCAGTCTCTATCTTTCTGTATTACATTCACTGACAGTAAATGCTGACTTTGAATCTTACACCACATGCTAAAGTTAAAAATCTCAGTCAGAAATCCTCATGTCTGTTTTTTTCCGTGACCTTAAAAGGCTCTAAAGGGAATCTGTTTGACAGAATTTGCATTGATTTACAGATCTTTAAAAGGCTAAGTGGCCTTGTTACTCCTTTGTACAGAGTGAGGAGACAGTTGGGTTTTGTAACGGCGACAGAATGTGTCCAAGTGACACATTCATATTCTGAGCTGAGACTTTCCTTCCTTCTGTAAACATTTAGGGGATCGGCCTTGGAGAAACTCAGAGGATAAGTTCTTATCCTTTGAAGATCGTCTCAGTTCTTAAGTGGCCTTACGATAGTCCCTGCACTGCAGATGGACACACACAGGACTGAGGGTATTTATCGTGCAGATAAAAAGATTTCAGGCGGATATTTATACACAGTTGCTTCCTAATAATAAGCCCCATCTATGGTAAACAGAGGACATTGAGGGACTTTTCTTTGGCAGACATTGTCTGAATAAAACAAAAATTAAAGCCTTCAGTTTTGACAGTTATTAACATTATTCTTCAAAACATGCACCTTGTGCAGAGGCTTTGAAAGCAGCCTCTTCATTTTGCATGTTTTTGGTACAAACAGTTTCAGGCAGGAGTTATTTTTGCTCCCTCTCACTGAGTCATGAGATGTTCCTTTCATAAATAAAACATGTTTGTCAGAAAAGAGAAGGAACTAAAACATCAACCGACTGGTTTAGAAAATGTGTTTTTATTGAAGACATATTTGTTCTTATGTGCATCATCGTCTGTGACTGGAGATGTCTGATCCATGATTTAAGAATATTTATGATCCAGTTGTGTTTCTACTTTTCCATGATCATTTCTCAGTTTTGGTTTTGTTTGTTTGTTTCATACGTTGATGGTGTCATTGTGCAGGGAGAGCTTGGAGAACCAGGACAGAAAGGAAGTAAAGGTGACAAAGGCGAACATGTAAGCATTTATTCATCTTTCACCTCCTGAGATTTTAACATTAATCCAGTTTTTTGATAAATAAACAAACCAAAATAAAAACTTCCTCTCCAGGGTCCACCTGGTCCTACTGGCCCTCAAGGCCCTGTTGGAGCTCCAGGTCCAGCTGTAAGTGTCCCTGTTTGTGTCCACCTCCCTGTTTCCTCACCTCTCCTGACCTTTACAGCACATTGCTTTCTATGCCTTTGTGCAGGGTGCAGATGGAGAGCCAGGTCCCAGAGGTCAGCAGGGTATGTTTGGTCAGAAAGGAGATGAAGGGTCCAGAGGTTTTCCAGGACCTCCAGGTCCAGTTGGGCTGCAGGTGAGATCTGCAGTGAATCAGAGAAGCTGGGACACTATCAAAAGTTAAGACCGGCAGACTTACGTCTACTCTGCTTCCTCTTTAGGGTCTGCCTGGTCCACCCGGGGAGAAAGGTGAAACTGGAGACGTTGGTCAGATGGTAAGATGGTTTGTCCTTTCTCTGACTGTCCAGTTGCTCAAATTATTTGCAAAACTGACCAGGTTTTCATATTCTTTATAGGGCCCACCTGGCCCTCCTGGTCCCAGAGGTCCCTCAGGACCCCCAGGAGCTGATGGCCCTCAGGGACCTCCTGGTGGTATTGGAAACCCTGGAGCTGTGGGGGAAAAGGTGAATCTCTAATCTGTTTCTAATTATTTCTGTTCTGTGTGGTAGTTTCAAAGAAGTCTGTGTTCAATACTACGTCCCACAAAATTATCAATTACAAATGTCCCTGAATGCACCGTCTCAATTAGGAAAATCTGCTGCTCATGTGCCCCTTTTTTATTTCATGTTGATGTTTCTGGTGTTTTGGTGAACATAATTAAAATGAGAGAGAATCACAGGCTTCCAACACAGTCTTGAAACGTATGGGACATAATTTTAATATTTTCCAGTATGGAAAAACTAAATCATAGTGTGCGAACATTTTAGTGTTTCTAGACTCTTTTGCATACTGAATTATCTAAAAAATAAATGTAAAGTTTCTAAAAGTGGCTCAAACAGTATGATTATGTTTTCATTAAATATTAAAACTAAAATTCTCCACAATGTCAAGTTTTGGTTTATACAGCAAAATACCAACATCTAGAAATTGAAGCAGACTGTGCATTTACAGTTTTTCAGTTTGGGGTGATAAGATTCTGATCAAAGGTATGGGTTCTTGGCAAATTAAAAATACTTTTTTTAAAGGTTGTAAAAAAACAAAGCAAGATACATATAAAAGTCCATCTTTTACAACAGAAGGTACTTGTTTTTCCACATTGTAAAGTCAGAGAAAAACCTCTCTCCACCTCCATTTTTACAAAAGCATGCTCATAATGAAAGTAATGTTTAACCATATGTTGGAAGCAAGCCCAAATTTGACCCAAAAAACAAACAAAAAAAACCTGTTAAACATGGTTATTTTTACTCACAGAGTGACAGATGCACACTAAATGTAAAAAAAACATAACTTAAAGTCATTGTGTTGCAGTTTTAAGATGGATAATGCATTATTAAAATCTGTTTACATAAAATCAGATATAGTTTTTTATCTCCTGCTGTTTCACTATAAAGTCTTGCTTTGGCAGTGCACAGTGCAGTGCACAGCTCTTTGGCAGAGCTGTGCACTTTCTCAACACTTCATCTGCAGTGATGGTGTGATTAGTTTTATTAGTTTGAGTCAATCAAATCACCTCTTGCTCTGTTTTAATCTCCCTGAGGATAGCCTGTCCTCAAACACACACTGCTCTTTTGGCTAATCACACTTCAGCTGATATGGCATTTCACTGGCAGGCAGCACAACTTGTTTTTTTTCTGTGAACACATCCAACATGTATCTGTGATGAGCAGCTGTCTGTCATGGGTTTGCTTTATTGTTCTCAGCAGATATTTTCAACACGCCTTTGGCGGAAATGAGCAGATTGTCAGAAGAACCTTCAGATGCAACAGGAAAAAAATAGGTTGCTAAAATATAAAATCCAATCCTTCTCATAAAAAAATAAAATAACAACATCCCAGCTGCTTAGTGGGGATTTCTTTTAACAAGAGGGTTTTTGTAAGACAGCTTTATGCTAATTTGGAGGCTCTGCTGAGAATGCCAAGCTGTTCATGGTTGAGGTAGCGTGGATGTGCCGATCCAACACATCACAGCACAATTTGTCTCTGCTTGTGCAGAAGCAGCCGGTTGATTTGCTCTCCATCTTCCAAACATGCCATGGGAGAACGTTTCCCTTCAGAACAGGTGTGTCAGTCTGCAGCGTTTGTAACAGTGAATAATGATAGGGCCTGGAGTCAAAGGGCCAACTGTTCAATATGACACCAGGAAGAGCACAAGATATATGGGCAAGATCTGGCGAGAACAATGAGGTCAGCAAACTTTGTGCTCCTGATGCACAACCTGCCCCGCTCTGATGGATGGACGTCTCTTGTGTCATCTCTTTTCTGGTGACAAGAGCACCAGGACAGTCAGGGCTGATGTAGAACACCACTGAATCAGTAAGTCCCCTGACTGATAATGTACGTGTCTCGCTCTCCGTCCCCTCTTCACCCCCTCCCCCAACATCCTCTCAGGGAGACGCTGGTGAAACAGGAGAACCAGGTCTTCAGGGAGAAGTTGGCCCACCAGTAAGTCTCTGATTCCACTGTTTGTGAAATAATTTATAACAAAAATATAGATTCAGCTGCAGAAAATCCATCTGGTCAAAATCGTAACTAGTTTTACTTTATTATTTTAGGGTCCAAGAGGAGAGCGAGGAGAAAAGGGAGAGGGTGGTCCTGCTGGTGCTGCTGGACCTCCTGGTCCTAAAGGTCCCCCTGGAGATGATGGCCCCAAAGGCAGCCCTGTACGATCTATCTGATAAAAAAAACTTTATTTTTTCAATTATTGCACAGAAGATGGTAATAATATAATCAAATGTACTCAGTGCCTAAAAAAAACTGCTGCTGCTTTTTTGTTTTTAGGGTCCAAGTGGCTTCCCTGGAGACCCAGGCCCACCTGGAGAGCCTGGTCCAGCTGTGAGTTTTTGTTAATTGAATTGTAAATAAATAAATTAATTTAAAAAATCTTTTTTTTTTTTTTTTGTAAATGTTAAGTTAAAGTTTCTTGACTGAAGTTCTGTTTGATTCTAATGCAGGGTTTAGATGGTCCACCTGGTGACAAGGGAGATGATGGAGAGGCCGGTCAGCCAGTGAGTGGTTCTGCTACACTTTTGCAGTGCTCAGTGGCTTTTGAAAATCAGAAACTAGAAAGTGATACGTTTTTATTTCAATCCAGGGTTCACCTGGACCCACTGGAGAGTCTGGTCCCTCTGGACCACCAGGAAAGAGAGTAAGTACTATCTGGTTCTTTTTCTGTATTAACTCAACATGAAGGTTTTACTTTGACAACGTTCTGTCTTATATTTGGTAATAATCTTTGTAAAATCTTTTTTAAACAGGGACCACCTGGAGCACCAGGACCTGAGGGAAGGCAGGGAGAGAAAGGAGCCAAGGTACCCAAAATAAAATCCTATTTTTAATTCTTCTTGCCTATTCCATATAGCAACAATAATAAAAAAAAAAAATGTGTAAACTGGTGAGAATAACAACTTTGTGTCTGTCCTGTTTCTGTTTAAAAGGGAGAGTCTGGTCTAGAAGGTCCACAAGGAAAGACAGGTCCTGTTGGCCCTCAAGGATCACCTGGAAAACCTGGTTCTGAAGGGCTCAGGGGTATCCCTGGTGCAGTTGTAAGTAATTTAACATGGAGACAAACAGTTTCCAGGAGAAAAAAATAAATCCATCCTGTTATATGGTTGAGCCTATCTACGTACATTAATACATCTGCACTTTTTTGAAGGGTGAACAAGGCCTGCCTGGGTCTCCAGGCCCAGACGGACCTCCTGGACCCATGGTGAGTAGAAGTGACTCCTTTGGTATGACGGTGCCGTATGATTTGACTGACGTGTTGTGTCAATGCCGTAGGGCCCTCCTGGTTTACCGGGCCTAAAAGGAGACAGTGGTGTTAAAGGAGAAAAGGTGAACAACTCCAACATGAACCAGAACTAGTTAACTGTTTTCATGATGGTTCTGATTGGTTAAACCCCAATTAAAGGATGGTGTTGCATATTATTGTGTATTTACTATTATGTGCTATTTTATCTCCAGGGTCATCCAGGTCTTATTGGTCTTATTGGACCCCCAGGTGAACAGGGAGAAAAGGGTGACAGAGGTCTTCCAGGACCCCCAGGAACCTCAGGTCCAAAAGGAGACAATGTGAGTTAAACAGAGATTGTTGCTAATAGTTTGTCTTTGAGCTAAATGAGTGAGAAGCTCATGATTGTTTTTGTGATATGTCAGGAGGAAAGCGTCTGTTCATTTATGGGTTTCTCTTTAGGGTATTGCAGGACCTACTGGTCCACTTGGTCCCATCGGTCCTCCTGGTTTACCTGTAAGTCTGTACTCAGTGTGTTGTACAACAGATGGTATTTATTGTTAGAACTGGTACTGATTCCTGGATCATCTTTGTGTTTATAGGGTCCCCCAGGTCCCAAAGGGGCTAAAGGGTCATCTGTAAGTTTTTTGCTGCATTACTGTATGTTAGAAGGATAAGAGGATCATTACGATGACACTCATAAACATTATTTGTTTCTCAGGGTCAAACTGGTCCAAAAGGAGAGAGTGGTTCACCGGGACCCCCTGGTCCTCCTGTGAGTACAAGTCAGGTTTTATTTACATGATCAGCAGTTTGTGTTTTCATGTCATGCATTCCACTTGGCATCACCTGCCTTTATTGGAGGCAGGCAATTGTGTAATTGTTTATGTGTACGCTTGTTTGTTAGCAAAATATCTCAAGACTAATTGTCTGTAGAAAACATAAAAATGGTGATATCTCAGTAAAGTTTATAGATATGGAGCTAAGAGTTTCATAGTCATTCAAGGGATATTAAGCCATTTAAGCTATGTAGAAATGTTTCATCATTCCCAACCTTATCTTGGCTGGTGCTGGTTTTCTCCCATCTCGCCATAACAGGGCCCTCCTGGTGATGTCATCCACCCGCTCCCCATCCAGGCTTCTATTAAGGGCAGAACCCGGAGGAACATTGATGCCAGCCAGCTGATGGATGATGCTGCTGCGGATACTAACTACAAGGACTACGATGATGGCATGGAAGAGATCTTTGGTTCTCTCAACTCCCTGAAGTTAGAGATCGAGCAGATGAAGCATCCACTGGGCACACAAAGCAACCCTGCTCGCACCTGCAAGGACCTACAGCTCTGCCACCCTGAATTCCCTGATGGTTTGCATCACATTTTGTTTGCTAAAAAATCTTCTGAACAGTTTACTTTATTTCCTGCTCTCATGTCATTTATCATACAAAACTGGAAAAACGTTATAAAAAATGACAACAAAGCTTGACTTAAGTCCCACAACCCACAGGTTTTCTTGATCTGCTCATATGACTACACTCTGAGATTCATATAAATATGTGGAAAAACAAAGTTTGTCATATGCAAAGTCAGGGCAAGAATATGCGACAAACATTGCTTGATGGAAACACAGAAATAAGAAAAACAAGTTTTAAGTTTATGTTAAAGGGACCAAGTATGCAGTGAAACACAGGAAACCAGTTTGTAATATTGTATTCTTGTAAAATATCTCAGGGTTCATTTGGTTGAATTTGACTGGTGCTCGTTGGGTTCAGCTCTGTTTACAGAATCAGCATCAGCCAAAACTTACCCTGATCGAATCATAATTCATACAAACATCAGGGAATGGAAGGAAAAGAGTCCAAATCTGCATTTAATCTGCACATTTTCTGAAATTACACCCAAAGTTTTCAGCCAGTCTGAAACAGTTTTTGTTCAGTTGACCAGAGTTTGCTTCTGGTTTGTTTTAAATTCAGCCTAATGTTTTCCTCTTAATGTTTTATGCACCAAAGATTTAATTATTTTCGGAGTTATGCAGCAGATCAATTCAAAATTAAAATAACTTTTATTGAAGCTTCCTAGTCAACCAATAATCACCCTAAAATGCTGCATCATGATTTGTTCTGGAGTTTGTCATTTTTTAATTATGTTAGGAATTAATTTCATGCGGAGTAGTTAAGTTAAGAGCTTAATCAATCAACCTTTATTTATACAGGTACTTAAACATTTATTCATCCATCTCTGACATCACAGATGAGATCTAACACATGGTGAGCCCACCATACTGATGTTACTGAACTCAAATGATCTACTCTATTATTCTGTTAGTGAAGCTGTGCACACAAAGGACACTGAGATAATGAATTTTTATTTCTTTTATGACACCTGAGGACTCTGAAAATCATCAGTAGTCTTTAGCAAAGTTGGATCTTTGGGGAATCATAGACTGAATTGATGGTAGTCTTTTAGTGACTTAGTTCAGATAAAGTGGAGTATTGAGTAAAACAAAGTACACATTATAGTTGTAGAGAGCTGTTTTAAATTAACAGTTATGATAAATCGAGATTAATTCATGAAAAATAGGTTCACATGAACAGTGATAAAATTGCTGCGTTTTTAAACGTGTTTTAAAGAAGGCAGCAGTTGACTTTTGTCCAGCTCAGATTAGCCAGTAGTCCACCAGTTCAGTCAGAATTAAACTTTTTTTCTTCAAACAGGTTGTTCAAAAGTTTATCTACATTTGTACAAAAGATAAGAAATTAACTCTACTTCAGAAGATCTGAACTATCCCTTTAACCAGGGCAAGGGAAACAAAACAATAAGTTTGATTTTTATCTGTTTTTTTTTTTTGTCACAATACAAACAACAAACTCAGTCATATTGAATGAAAAAAAAAACTAGAAAAAGGCAAATTTTGTTAAACTACATTGATGAATGGTTGATGACGTTTGATAAAGCTGAAACTGACTTGCTAAAATAAATCAGATGAGTTAAAATGAACAGAACACAAGCTAAAAGCTAAAAGTATTCAAACAGTAAAGCAAGTTTTGTTTCATTCAGCTACTGGTAAAAGCAGCAGAAAGGTAGCTACAAGGTAAAAATGAGCTAAACAGAAACTATAAGCTGCAGGACACTACCTGAAAGCTAAAGAAGTAGAAAAGATGCAAAAATTAGCTAAATGGATGCAAAAACTTGTACAAAGTAAAACTGATGCTAAAAAATAAATATTAGGCAAAATGAGCTAAACTCTTGCCAAATCTAAAAAAAAATAGCAAAATATTAGCTAAAAACTAAAATGTGAAAAATTGTTACTAGAGGTAAAAGCAGTAAAACAGTAACAGAAGTGTAGCTCAAAGTGAAAATGTGTACTAAAAAAATAGAATTAAAGTGGTGCTAAAGTGAACATTTTTAAAACTGTAGCCAAAAGCTTAATTAATCAGAATCAGAATAAACTTTGTTGGCATTGCACCAAGATACAACGCGAATATGTACGTACAGTCGTCCGAAGATGGGCGGAGTGCACGAAGCTGCGGCTATAAATAATTAGCGCGGCCTTCTTATTCTTGTTCAGAATAATATTTTGCTTAGATAAGAAAAGTCAGAGTCAGAGTTTCTTTATTGTCATTCGCACCTCATGTGGTACATGTGGAGCGAAATTATGTACACAGCTTCTACCCTGAGGCTGTTAGACTCATGAATCTCTAACCAGAATAATCACTGTGAAAAACCACATCATGTTGCTGTTGATCTGTTTCATGTTGCTGCTGATCTGTTTCATGTTGCTGCTGATCTGTTTAAATGTTGATGTGTTCATGCGTGCACATCTGCTCACAGACTCATGTTCATGTTTGTGCTGATGTTCAATGTTTTTATGTTATGAGTGCTTAGTGTATATTTAGTTGATGTTTTTCTTAGTTCATATCTTAGATGTTATTACTGTTTTTCTTATACATTTTATTGTTGGATGTAACTGGGACCTTGTGTACATAATTTCGCTCCACCACATGTACCACATGAGGTGCGAATGACAATAAAGAAACTCTGACTCTGACTCTCTGACTCTGAGAAGTTCAGTGATCTGGGAGAGCCTTGGAGTAGAGACGCTGCTCCTCCACATCGAGAGGAGCCAGTTGCGGTGTTTCAGACATCTGGAAAGGATACCTCTTGGATACGGCATGTCCGACTGAGAAGACCACGGGGAAGACTCAGAACACCCTGGACAGACTGTCCTCCCAGAAAAGCTGAAAAAGGGGGCTGTGGAAGAGATGTCTGGACCTCCCTGCTCAAGCTGCTGCCCCCAAGACTAGCCTCTGGAACAAGCAGAAGACAATGGAAGATAATCGATGAATAATTGTTATTATAGAAAGTATGACTGGCTCAAATTGCAATATCTACTCTTAGAATTTAATAAAAAAGGAAAGAAAACATGAGGAGAGACCATATAAAAAAAAGATCTCTCACACCGTGTCCTAGACAGGGCACAATTTGAGGCATCAAAAAAACCTACCACAGCAAAGCAACATAAACAGACGTTATACATTTACATATAGGCGGTGAAAACATTGAATTTTTAAGGGAAAGTCGTAGCATAGTCCAGAGCCCCCCCCCCAGCCCCCCTCCAGGTATTAACATAGCAAAACAGTAGCTAAAAACTAAAATGTGCAAAACTGAAATTAAACCATAGGCTAAAGCTTTTTTTTTTTTTTAATTTAGCCAAAAATGAAACTTTTCTAAACAATTGTGAAATTATTAGAGGACCGGAACCATTAAATGCTAAAAGTGGCAGAACATACAGTGTAGTTAAACACTAAATATAACTTTAAAAAACCATAACACCCAATTCCCAGTCCAGCTTTAATTAGATCATTGCCCAAAGTGTTATAAACTCCATTCTGAAATAAGTTTTTGACCTTTAACTAAAGACTCCCTGTGCTAACATGGAGACGTGATGTCAGACATTGTGTTACCCTGAGTGAACACTGCTCTGTGTAACGGTTCCTTCTTCCTGTTTTCTGCCTCACTTCATCTCTGCAGGTGAATACTGGATTGATCCAAACCAGGGTTGCTCGCGGGACTCCTTCAAGGTTTACTGCAACTTCACAGCAGGTGGAGAGAGCTGCATCTACCCAGACAAGAAGTCTGAAGGGGTACGTCTGGCTGCATGCCACATGAGCACTAAAATGTGCACACAAAAAGAGAGGTCAGGCTGAGAATATAGTAAAAAAAAAAAAAAATGTCCATCTCCCAGTTTGCCTCGTGCACTGGATAAACTGCTGTGCATGCTGTATAGATAAACTGAACTCTGAAGTTCTGAAACATGTAGCAGAATGATTAGCCTGTGTGTGATCTGTGATGGTAACAAGAAGATTTGTGAGATGATCAGAGATTCTGCACAGTTCCAGAGACTCATCCACACATTTCAGTTTCAGAACCTTTTGTGTGTGAAACATAAAGAACTGGATGGACTGTAAAAGCCTTCAGAGGATGGGGAACACACTTAGAGGACCTTTGCTTCATTATGTATGAGATTGTAGACGCAGTGGAGTGGTGAAATGGCGTCTGCGACAACTCTGAGGTTGTGTAAAAGCACAGCGCTGCAGCGGTTTTAATGAAGCCACTCATCAAGCCTCAGAGGAGTCGGAATTTGTTGAAGCTCAGGATAATGAAACAGACTTTTTATAGCTCTCTGGTGGCGATGCTCTCGTTTAGCTGGAGCTGCTGTCAGTCTGGGCACTGAGACTCAAAAACTCACCACACGTGTTGGAAGTGGTCAGCAGAACCAGGGCAGGTTTTCTCCTCCGCCCCGTCGCCTCTGGTGGAAACAAGCAATGGTCACCTTCATGTCTTCAGGGGTTTAATGGGTGCCATCTTGTAGCGATGACTGATCTCTGGCCCATCTGTCATTAACGCATTAAGCTGCTGATGACAGCTTTGTATCAAACGCTGCTCATTAGTTATAGAAACATTTATCACTGTCATGGCTCAGGGCTGTTGGCCGAGTCACAGCTTTTAATAAATCAGCTGAGTCCGAGCATCCGGGCTGCGCACTGAACCACTGAGCGTCAGGGACAGGGGCTGTTGCAGAGGAGTGCTGCAATTATTTAATCTTTAATCACTGTGTACTCATGAATCTTTTAGCACCAATTAGCTGCCAGCAACAATTTGTATTCTGCTAAGTGGTGTTTGTTGTTGTTGTTGTCAACTATCAGCATGCAGCAGTTGAAGGTAATGAAACAATATCAGGCCATGAAATTGTTAAGGGTGGTCCTCAAAAGGTGTGTCATCTCCCCATTACTTTTTACAATCATGTAGTAAAACTGTCTCAAATTATACAGTGAAATGTTCTGATGAAAGCAGTTTAAGAAAGAACTGAAGCCTCAGACTGAAAATGTTCTTATTAAGAAGGCATCTGTAAAATAATTGTTTTTATTTAATCACATGGTTTCACAGAGTGGCAGAGGTTGTTTGCATCCAGGTGTTTTACAGCAGTTAACTGGAGCGTCTTGCAAAAACATTCAAAGAATAACAGCAAACATTATCACTATTGTTGTTATTAAACCTGACTTTATTGTGTTGATGGCAGAAAACATTTAGGATGTCAGAACAATTAAATAACTTTTGTATCTGCAGTTGTTGTCAGAAGTTTGATCTACTCGTTGACATGGATGGTCCACAGGCTTTCTGTCAACAAGCCTCTGGTAGAGTTTTGTCTGACAATTGAGCGAAGAATTGGTGCACTTCATTCATACTGGTTGTTTTCCTGTCATGCAATCAACTTTTAATAATTTTGCAAAGTCCATAAATTGTCTGAGGTTGAGATTTTGGGAAGGTGCCATCTTGAAGGTGCTGCTTTTGGAGCAGGAGCTTATTTTTTGATGAGCACCCTCTTAGTCCATGGCAATGGTAAAAATGGTTCCATTGTGGACAGAAACACTAGGGTCCCAGATTTCTTCCATGTCATGGTTAGCTTGAGCCTTTATGGTTCCTGGGTTGTTCCTGAACGTCCTAACAAGTTTCCTTCCTCTGATACCGACTATTGGTCAATCCATTCAGTGCTGTCAAAAATTATTTCAATGCTTGCAGAGAGAAACTCCTAGTTGTAGACAATCAAAATGACTGAGTGGTTATTTGGCATTTGGTTTGTCAAATTATGATCTTAAAACATTCAGCATCACTGAAAACATTTAGGTGAGTGTATGTATAGTTTTGATGCCGTGTGGATCAGAGAAACTCCAGAATCAATTTAAACTTGTTTTTAGTAATTAATGAAGTTGTGTATTACACCATTATTTCACCCTCAACAAAGAACTGTTCAAATCAATAATTAAAAAACACAAATTAATCTGACATTCAGCCCAGTTTTGAGCAGACGGAGACCTCTGACTGCAGCTGTGTCTGTAATTTGTGTTCAGCTGTTTCCTTTTAGAGAATTTCAGTATTTGCCGTTGTTGATGCTGCCATGCGTGCGTGCTGTCTGGTGCAGCCCAAGACAAGCCTCCCCATGTTTTTTATTTTTTATTTTTGCTGGTCCAGTAGTTCAGCTTGATCTCTTTGAATACTGTTTCAGACCTGAAGAATTCCTCAGAGGACAACAAAAGAAGAACAGCTGAGGGTGGGGTGTGGGTTGTCTGTCAAACCTGTTTCCTTTCTTTAATGCTACATTTTCCCTCTTCCTCTGCCTTTTTGTTGGTCCATGCCCCCAGGCTAGGCTCACATCCTGGGTTAAGGAGAATCCGGGTACCTGGTTCAGTGAATTCAAACGTGGTAAACTGGTAAGCCAGACTCCAGACTTCCCATTGTCTCTTCCCTGAATGCCTCTCATATTTTACAGAGCAAAATGGCAAAATGGCCCAAAGACACCCCAGGATCTTGGTATAGTCACTACAAGAGAGGTTCCCTGGTAAGTGGCCCTGCCTGTGCTTCCAGAGTCCCGGCTGGGGTCAGGACTTTGGATGCCCAAGGCTCTGCATGGTTCTGTTTTTGCACTGTGAAGCCTGGCACTTTGCTTGCTGGTTATGATTTTTTTTTAAATTTAAAGTGCATGATCCACCACAGGCTGCTCTCACCTTCAATCCAGCAGAAGATGATCTTATAAGGAAATGGAGGAGACATTTGTGGACCAAACAGGCAGAAAATGACTGCACAGATATCTTGTAGAGCTGAATGAATTCCTTGTTCTGTTGTCCACCTTGCCTCTGATCCATCAGTAGAACATCTCCTAAGTGACCGGGTGCCTCGGCATGACTATGACAAAGAGTTCATCCCGTTAAACTATGTTCCTACACATTCCTGTCATTCCTGGTTTCAAAAAGTTCTTGCATTAGCACCAAAGCATCTGTGTGTGTCATACAGAGGGCTACAGAGCCCCTCCCTCATTGTCTCGGCATAGCTCTGAGTCAAACAGGTCAGGCACTCGGTCACCCCCATGGGCTTCTAGGTTCTCTGCTGACATGTGATGATAAGAGGTATGTTTCCCTGAAGATCTGCAGAGTTGGGGGATTGGGCAAAGAAAAGCGAAGACAAACCACAATTCTGACATTAGCTCTGGAACAAAGTTTTTGAATTACAGACAAAATGGCCTGCATGATACCAAATCATAATTACTGGTAGCAGTCCTTGGAGGAATGTATGTCACACAGCACACACCAGAGCTTTAAACCAACATCATCTTATGCTGACAAATGATAGAGCTGTACATTAAAAATAACATTATGCACAATCTCATGAGATATTGTCAGATGCTATGCTCAGAGTATGTGTTGTGAATAACTCAGCTACAAATACAACACATTTTAGCTCAACATTTACAAAACTGACTCTCCAAATGTTGGGTCAATATACCGGTATGTATAATTGACTGAGGTATAGCCATTCTTGTGTGTTTTAAGGTTAATTACCTGTGTCAGCCATCTTGCATTGGGTTAGCACCAATGATTATTCAGATATAAATATCCATACAAAGAATAATTTCAACAAGTTTCATCAAAATTTGTCCAGGGATTTATGATATACTTTAGTTACAAACAGACAAACAATCACACATGAGCAAAATCATTATTGCTCATCACTGAAAGGCAAAAGTCAGGTGACTATGAGAGTTAGCTCTCTGTTAATGTCAGGACTGTGAGTTTTGTCTCTGCATGTGTGTGTGTGTGTGTGTGTGTGTGTGTGTGTGTGTGTGTGTGTGTGTGTGTGTGCAAGCACTGGTTCATGCAGAAGAACGAGTGGAAGAAGGAAAAGAAAGCTCCCAACAGATGGTTTGCTGCTTTGTTTGCACGGCTCACATTCTGCATGCGCTCTTTACTCAGCAAGTCCCGTTTGTCTAAAAGGATACGCGATCATGTGGATCTAATGGATTCCTAATGGTTGGTATGCAGATTGTCATTTACGGACATTAAAATCAATCTGGGACTGTCTCCAAATCAGTTTTATCAGACAGGATTACAGGGCACTAATCAGATTAAAGGGATACAGCTCAATTTTCTCTTAAAAAATCGTGAGAAGGATTCTACATTAATTAGAAGGCAATTAACATATTACAGCCTCATGTTCTCTTTTAGGAATTATATTGTACTTTGTATTAGGATTTTACAGTTTTTGCTTTTTTTGTATATATAGTATACATTTACAAATACTTAACTAACCTTTGAAGTAGCTGTTTGGCTATTGCTTTTTATTCTTAAAGGCACCAAAGGAAATTTTAAACTTCATTAATTGTTTTATGTGGCCAGAGATTTATTCTACTTCAGGCCTCCTCTTCGACATGTTTATACACATGAACTACATGTACATAATGAGTATAAGAACATTAAACTGTCTCCAGTTTCAAAAGAGACCATCACCTAGAACCGGAGCTGATGTAGTGTTGGCTATTTAATATGGCATATATCCAGCTACATTAATTAGTTGCTCGGATTTTTATAGCAAAAATATGTTCATGCAGTTCATGCAGGCTATTTAATATATACAGTATATATATATACATATATATATATGTATATATATATATACATATATATATATATATATATATATATATATGTATATATATATATATGTATATATATATATATATATGTGTGTGTGTATATATATATATATATATATATATTAATGTAATAGTTTAACATGTGTGAGTACAGCAAACATGCAATGAGTCACAGCCTAAATCCTATTTTCACTGTTTCTGTAGTAAATATTTAAAATGAAAACCAGGCCTTTATTATTGTCAGCTGTTATAAAGATCACCATTGTCAGTGAGTATAAACCAGGTGAGCAGGGCAGTCATAAGTCTTTATATATCAGTAAGCTGTACAGTTTTGATAATGACTGTTTCACAACAATATGAAAAACAAACTAATAGAACGTTCTAATTAGGGTTTAATGTGGTCCACATGCAGACCATGAATGGGTCTCTAAATTATTTGATGTACCAAAAGCCGCTCATCATAAATAGATTGTTATTGTTATCAGGTAGTTGCTGAAGTGTCAGACAGTGAGTGGAGGTCAGCAGTCACTGAGGTTGGATCATAGACTCATCAGACAGTTTTACCAACACTTGATGGATTCTGATGAAGGTTATATTGTAGGTTTGCATGAGGCCAGTTCTGATCTGCTGGATCTGGATGTCTAGTTCCAACAGCTGTGGGCCAACATGTTGCAGGAGAGGAAACAACAGCACACCCAACTGACCTGAGACCAGCTGTGTGCCCATACTTTCAACTCTGTTAGTTATCTGATCTAAAACGCTATAATACAGTCACATGACTATTCAACACGTGCAGATTTGTTTCATTTCCACCACTATGGGATTTTTTTTTTTTTTTTTGTCAATGCTTTATGCACAGTACAACAATCTTCCCATGGTGTGAACCATCTTGAGGGAGCAGAACCTTCACTGTGTGTGTGGGTGCCTTCAAGTCCTCGCTGGTTTCAACATCAGACCATTGTGACAACTAAACCATACATGCTGGACCTCGAGCTGACCACCTAGACTCACGCAGACATACAAAGTGGATGAAAATTATATCACTTTGTCACTAAAAATATATATTTTTTTGCTTGTCAAAAAGGTTAGTAAATTTAACTTTGACTTATGTACAATAGCAATAAAATGGTGAATCATCCAAGGGGGTAAATACTTATTAAAGGCCCTGTGCATCAGAACACATCACTGGTTTGCATGTGGACCAGATTACATCCAAATCAGACTGTTTCTTCTGGGTGCTTGACTATTTTTAATGAGTGCATTTAGAGGACCTTTGATGGTTACGTTCAGGTGTTTTAAGTCATGTGAACATTAAAGATAGACTTTATGATAAAAAAACTGCAACAGGACTGTGCAAACCAGACTACAGACAAATATTCGTGATGGTTTGGGTCTTTTTATGGGATGGACCCAATGCTGCTACACTAGTCTGATATAACTTATTGTTCACTCAGTATTGCTGTCTAATATTATTGGCAAATAAATTTCTAATATTTGAGTATCTCTGTAGAGGATGGTGGTACAATTAGGGACACTTCTAACAGAGACTGCTGCCAATATTAAAAATGTCCCAGAAATCTATAAAATGATAAAAATATAACTTTGTGAAAATTAATCAAATCAGCTCCTAGGTGATAAAACAGTGCAGAGTACAGACCTGACAATATGTCACTAAAACCTTGGTGTTTGCAGGACATGCCTCCTGCTCCATTCATTAGTTACAGGTTTCTCCCCACCTTGTGCTAAAGTTTTCATGTTTGACTTCATCTGCGTGTGTTTGTCCTGTAGCTTTCCTATGGAGATGCAGAAGGAAACCCCATTGGCGTGGTTCAAATGACTTTCCTGAGGTTGCTGAGTGCAGCAGCCCGCCAGAACATGACATACAACTGTTACCAGTCAGTGGCGTGGCACGACCAGGAGCAGGACAGCTATGACAAGGCCATCCGCTTCCTGGGCTCCAATGATGAGGAGATGTCTTATGATAACAACCCCTACATCCGTGCGTTGGTCGATGGCTGCGCGGTAAGTTCACATCAACTCCGAGTTCAACACTAATTGTGTGGTTAAGTCAGTGTTCATATTCATGTTTTCCTGTTTATTATTTATATTAATGCTTTATTGTTTCTTTCTGCAACTTTAAGCTTTTAGCCTTTAGCCTTTTAGCCTTGTGCCACTTTTAGCCACCCACCTTTTTTAGCTATCATATTGTCACTTTAATCTACCAATTTGCTACTTTTAGGTTCACCTACCATTTTACTACAATAACTTCTTACTGATCAGCTACTTTTATCTTTTAGCTACCATTCTTCTTCTATCACCTTTTGTTACTATTTAGTTGAGCTCAATTAAGGTATTAAATTTTGATACAGTTTTAATATTTTTAGCTTTTGATAGCAGTTTCACAAATTTTAACAGTTAGCTTTTCTGATTTCAGATTTTAGCTACTGTTTTGCTTCTTTTAGCTACTGTTTTTTTATATAAATTTCAGCAGCCATTCAGCACTTATCATTCATACCCTCTTGAGTTTTTGTTGTCTCTGAAGTGACAGTCTGTTGTTTTGTAACTCCCTCTCCTACTGTGTCTCCACCCCCCACCCCACAACAGCTGAAAAAAGGCTATGAAAAGACAGTACTTGAGATCAACACGCCGAAGGTGGAGCAGGTGCCATTTGTGGACATCATGTTCAACGATTTTGGCAGTTCCACGCAGAAGTTTGGATTCGAAGTGGGACCTGTCTGTTTCATAGGCTAAGGCTGAGCAAACGGAGAAAAAAAAGCCTAATTTTGTTTTCTCAGAAAGAAAGAACGAATGAAAGAAAAAACTTTTGACAAAGAATGGGACGACCCTATTTGTAAAAACTGTTTCCATAAAGCAACACATATGCAAAACAAAATTCTGTCAAGAATATGGCAAAATTCGAAAGGAATAGAGCGGATATAACCTTGAAACCTCAGTGTGCCTTCTCCATCATATGCAAGTTTTGAAACTGGATTTCAGATCCTCCCCACCCCCATGCATCAACACTTGATTTCATCCCAAACCATGAAAGCGACTCTAAGAGCTGCAGCCGTTGCAGATGGTCGCAGTATTTGCCATGGACTCCTTCTGATTTGGCTCGTTTCTTTTCTTTAGTTCTGATCTCATGTTTTATGTTGCCACCTGTCCGTCTTTGGTTTGTTTGCTCGCTCACCCCCAGGAGATTTGTTTGTGCAGAACTGTCTCACCATTCTCTTGGAATGGCTCCTATGCATAAGTATATATATATATA